GATTACAGACGTGAGCCACCATGCTTTGCTTAAAATTATTATTTTAAGCAAATTTGCAGCACATTTTTAGAAAGATCAGAAGGGCTGGCAGAGGTGAAGTGATTCTCAAAATCAGGGTAAGGAGATTGGCTGATAAGGTTTTCAGTTAAGGTCCCCTTAGAGACAAAACCCCCAAAATCAAGTTTTTGTATGTAATATCTCCCTTAGTACAGTGTTGCAATAAAAATTCTGTTAAATTAAATTAGAATATAACTAGAGAATTGGATGTCCTATCAGTCGATTAAATGAGGTATTCTCTGCACTGATCTTTTTAAGGAAGAGAATATTAGTTTTTCTACCATCACCCAAGAGTTTTAAAAAAGCTTTGAAATAGAAAACATCAGTATTCCATTCCCAAACCCCTGAGGTGTTTCTGATGAATAAAATATGTAAGAATCATAGAATCATATGTAAGAATCTGTTAGTTAGTTGGCCAGTGGTCAACAGTGATCATCGAAAGATATTTTTTGTTGCTGTTTTTAAACTGCATCAGTTCTCCTCTTCCAAATATTTGGCCCACAGCTGCCTTTGTTAACAGCTCGGAGGCTACTGAATTGTTTTTAAACAGAAATGCCAACTCTACTGACTTCCTGACTGTCGACAGACATGAGGTTTTTTGTTTTACATGTATATACATCAGGAAATGAAACGAGATTACTACATGCTGTGCTAAGGAAAACAATAAAAGTGAAAAAATGTTATTTTTAGATAAGACTATTTCCTAAACCTTTAGAGGCATCGTACAAATTTGTCCTCCGTTTGGTAGAATATGAACATGTGTGGTCTGTATCTCTTCCTATGGCAGGCGATACTAATTATCTATCTATATTACAGTCATTTTCTCTCAGCACGCTAAACCTGACATTTCAGCGTAAAGTCCAATAAGACAAGGAAGTGAGCTATTCTGTTAATGGGAAAGAAAAGAGGTATGTAAGAATAAGCCTTCAGGCATCTGCTGAGCAAAACAGAGAGTCCAAAAGAAGAAACGGAAGAGCAAGTGAGTTTCATGAGAAACAGTAGCTACAGTTCAGAGTTGACTTATATAGTTCTCTTTCCATTAAGGTGTATCAGCACTTTTGACTTCGTCTTTTTTTTTTTTTTTTTTTTGGTAGAGGGAGTTTTGCTCTTGTCACCCAGGCTGGAGTGTAATGGCGCCATCTTGGCTCACTGCAACCTCTGCCAACTGGGTTCAAGCAATTCTCCTGCCTCAGCCTCCCGAGTAGCTGGGATCACAGGCGCACGCCACCACACCCGGCTACTTTTTGTATTTTTAATAGAGACAGGGTTTCACCATGTTGGCCAGGCTGGTCTTGAACTCCCGACCTCAGGTGATTTACCTGCCTTGGCCTCCCAAAGTGCTGGGATTACAGGCGTGAGCCAGTGCACCCAGCCCTTGACTTCTCTTTTGTAAAAGCAATACCCTTTTCTCTTGTACCTCAAGGAAACTGCTCTCATAATTTATGGATTAATACTCATTCCACATAAATGTAATTTGGATATAGTCCCTGAAATGTAAATATCTAGGATAATAGTATCCTGAAGAAAATAGCCTTTTGGGAAGTTATGGATTCAGGACTTCTCAGGCTATGAAAGAGTTACTTTATTTTTTGTGGATGGCCACTCATTTAAAAGGTTATTGGATCCTCTAGATTATAGAAGATCTTAGAGTTTAGCCCTGGACCCTGTGTTATATCTAGAAAAGCCTTTTCTAGGGTTCGGTGTGTTCTAAGCTGGCTGGTATTTTATTAATGTCGTTCAGGAAAACTACAGTATGGAAATCAAAGCCATTCCTTTAAATAAAACTGAGGTTATATAGTCATGCATTTAATAACAGTGATAGATGCAGGAGGCATGCAGATGCAGATAAGGAAACCCACACAGGGTCTTGCCCGGGGGTGTGCCTACAAGGGACCGGGGCCCACATGTGCACTGGGAGAAGGGGGTGGAGCCACCAAGAATTCGTGCCTTATGTAGGGGAGGAGACTGATATTCAATCTGTGAGGTGGGGAGCCTCTCCTCCTATGCTGAGAGCCTTCTTTTCACTTAATAATCCACTCTCCTCCCCCTTCCATTTGTCTATGTGCCTAATTTTTCCTGGTCGTGAGACAAGAAGCTGGATTTTAGTTGAACTAAGGAGCAAAAAATCCTGCATCAATAGCAAAAACAACTTTCTACAATAAATCACAAATAAATTTGTTTATATAAATTACATAAGTTATGAGAATGGGACATCTAAAATACCTAATGTTTAGCCGCTGAACCAAGTGTGGTCAATTTTGACGTGCTGGGTATCTTCCCAGAAGTAGATGGGAAGGAATTTAGAATTACTTCTCTTACTCCAAAATTTTAGGCCTTGAGTGTGTACTAGTTTCTCTGGACCTCTGAAGATGGCTTTACTAGCGTGAGCCTGCTATAGAAAAAGGGTGTTTATCAGAGACTCCCATGTAACAGATCACCCCCACTGTCCATGGTGTAGGTTTTAGGCTGTGAGATAAACTGACCTTTTGGATAAGGTGTCTGACCTCTCCCCTCTCCTGACAGTGATTTCTCTTCCCAGACAGCTGCGCTTACAAACAAACTGCTAGGTAGCAGTAGCACTTTGACAAATGGAGCACAACCCAGATCCTTTGTTTCTTTGAATTCAGCCAACAAGCTAGCATTCCAGAAGCTCATTAGGGGGCCATGAATTACTGTGGAGGCCAAGCCTGCACTTCCTTCTCCCTGGCAATCCATGTGGCCACACGTTCCCATGATCCGTGGGGCCAGATCATGCTATTCCCAGTTCACATTCCATCCTGTCAGGGTACTCTCAAAATAAATAATATTTACAGCAGAGTTCAGAGCTGGCGAAAGAAATGTGGAAGGAAAAAAGTGAGTAAGTAGACTAGACACTGGAATCCATTGGATTTGTGGATTTTAAATCATTTTTTCATGGGACTTCAGAAATCTTTGTAAGTAGATATGTACTGGCACTTATCAAAACCCCAAATTCCAAGGCCAAATTAATGTCATAAAAAAGTAACAAAGAAAAATTGTAACAAGATTTAGTTTCTATAATCGGAAAACATTATGTTTAGCAAATTCAGTAAATGGTTACTGGCCACCTACAAAGTTCAAGGTCTCCAGCCAAAGCTAGTTACAGTCATTATCTATTTAAAAATTTGACTACCACTGCTTTATACCAAAAACTTGGAAAACTTAAATAAAAGGGGCCCGGAGGTCTCTTTATGCAAATATTCAATCAGAGCTGAAGAGATGGCATTTGAGATCAGAGTCAGCAACTACAACCCCCTGGACAAATCCAGTCCTCTGCTTATGTATTACTCTTGAACTAAGGATGGCTTTTACATTTTTAAATGATTAGAAAAAGAACTTAGAAGAAGAATATTTTGTGATACATGAACATTTATATGAAATTCAAATTTCTGTATCCATAAATAAACTTTTATTGGAACATAATCAGGCTCATCCATTTACTTATCCTATTGGGCTGCTTTTGCACTTAGGAAGAGTGGTGTAATTGCAACAGAGATCGTGCTGCGTGCAAAACTCAAGATACTGACAATCTGGCCCTTAACAGAAAAAGCTTGCTCATCCTTGTTTTAGATTGTAAAATAATTTTTTTGCTTTTGCTGAGATGTCTGACTGAGAACAGTCAACACAGTGAGAGCTCATCTCTACCAAAAAAAAAAAAAGAATTAGCCCGGTGCAGTGACTCATGCCTGTGGTCCCAGCTACTTGGGAGGCTGAGGCAGGAGGATCACTCGAGCCCAGGAGTTGGAGGTGACAGTGAGCCATGACTGCACTCCAGCCTGGGTAACAGAAGGAGACCCTGCCTCTGAAAAAATTTAAAAAATAATAATAGCAAAAAAGAAAGCCTGAGAAATGTACCAGGAGAGCAAGGAGAAAGCAGTTGAGACCTGAAAAACCGGTGACAAAGACAGCCAAGTACAGGTGGCCACTAACATAAGTAGTTTTTGCTGCATTTACAGATGAAATCCCTCAAAGCATGGGGAAACAGACAGGTTCTTAGATGGAGCAGAGGTCCAATTTGTGTTTCTTTTTAATACCAATTTGCTAATTTCCTGTTGATGGGCCAGAACCTTAGGCCTTGATGCCTTCCTTTCCTGTTCATACGGTTTACTGTTTGCCTCTAAACCTAGATTCTCCAGAACGGGTTACCCTGGCCTTTTCTTTTTTTTTCTTTTTCAGAGGAGCTTAATCAAACAGAATCCCAGGAATAACGTCTGCCTTTGAGCAGACAGTCCTGCTGGTGGCTGGCTACACTCTCTGTTCTCTTCCGGGTCTGGTGATGATCACGAGAGATTTCAGGGCAATTTCAGCCATACTGATCAACACACAGTGAGGATTGAAATAAATGACGAGTTTGCAGTTTTACAAGGCTATTAATGCCATTTATAGATTCCCAGTAGTTGTCTGTTTATGTTTTCTCCAACACAATATCCTAAGACAGAAGCAAAGCAGAGGTGCAGTAGTTTTATGTTGTAACACTTTCACGAATGAAATTTCCCTAGAAGACAGCATTTTGTCCCTTGAGGGGTAGGGACTACATTGAGAGAAAAAAAGATGTCCACCTACTTGTCAGGACTGACGGGTTATCTGCAACCATATTTACACCACAATGGTGATTCCAGCCTCTATGAGACATTTGAGCAGCCTGTCCAACCTCGGGACAATAGGCATGTGTGACGCTGGGCCCTAATGTCAGCTTTCCAGTAATCTCTGGGCTTTGCATATAGTAGAGAACATCATCCTTGCTATTACTATGTTTTCTCTACCTGATCTATCTGTTTCAATGGACAAGTTGAGAGTTAGATCTCATCATTAACATACAACATGAATAAATTGTCCACCTGAAAAGGACATCCTGAATAGTTCTTTTTAATAGAGAAGCAAGGGTTTACATTTTAAACAACAACAACAAAAAATTGTAAACTCACCTAGAAAAATCTCCCTTTGCCTCCTGTAGAAGAAAAAATTCAACATCAGCGAAATACACTAAGCCAGTGTCAGAGACTCTAAAGTACATTCTATAACCATGAGAGTTTCTCTACTGAATGAGATGAGTTCAGCTTCCTGCAGTTATCATCCTATTTGCTGCAGGAATACAATTAAAACAGAATGCATACATTTGCTATTTGAATATGAGACATGAAATTAAACTCTAGAAAGTTATAGACAAAGAAAGTGATTGATAATGACAAAATGTACATCTCCACCTCAAAGCCCGGGTCTGACATGTTCTAGTTTAAAGATTCTAAATATGAACATGTATCTGGATAGAACTGTCTATTTCTAGGGTCACTTTTTGTTTTGGTTTGTATTTTATGCTAGTCCTCAATTATACTGAAGACTCTAGAGGTAGGGACCAGAGAAACTTTAGTGAATCCAGTATAATGCCTTAAACATAGTAGTTGCTCAATAAATACTTATTGAAGGAATAAAGAAATGATATCATTTTAACTCATCTTGCCACTACTAAGCTAATATTCTACAACACCTTATTATTTTTTTTTTTTTGCATAACCTAAAGGGCTTTTCCTTGTCTTTCCAGGGGGCAGAACATGATTTTTTGGCCACTAACTCTAGCTATTCACTTGGCTTTCTCCAGGGTGAAAGTACCAAACCCAAAGAAAATGGGGTCAGTAAATGACCTCAGTTTCTCCCAGGCTCAGGTTAAACACACAACTTTGCTTTACAGGGATTTGCTGTCTTAAAATTTTGAAATACTACAAGCCCCTGTTTATTGCTATGGTTTCCATCAGTGTCTCTAATAGCTCTATGCAGCTTATGGCTAAAAAAAGGTAAGATGACAAATAGTGAGTGGACACAGCTACTGGCTATGCCCGGTAAGTCTTATTTCCTTTCTTCTGTGTATGGCCCTGGGACATAAAGAGGAGGAGAAAAACAACTTACCTGTAAAATATAGGAAGCTAATTCAAACACCACTTCACTGTCAACGTCAATAAGCTCCTGAAAGGAAAAAGCAACAAAGGAAGACAAGTTTGGTATTTAACAACCACTTTTTTCTTTTTTTAAAAATGACAGCTCTTCTTCGGGAGGATTACTCAGCCCAGGAGTTTGAGACCAGCCTGGGCAACATAGTGAGATCCCATCTCTACAGAAAATTTAAAAATTAGCCAGGCAGGGTGGTACACGTCTGTAGACTCAGCTGTTTTGGAGGCTGAGGTAGGAGGATCTCTTAGCCTGGGAGGTTAAGGTTGTAGTGAGCTGTGATAGCACCACTGCACTCCAGCCTGGGTAATGGGGCGAGACCCCAGCTAAAAAAAAAAAAAAAAAAAAATGCTTCCTTTTCTGAGGATTTGCTCCGAATCTCCCATATTCATAGAATGTCTTGAGTCTCTGAGACCACTGCCCTGAATTGTTCAGTCCTAAACACTCCCAACATCCTTTTTGCTGCTCTTAGCTGGGATGGACTAGGGGGCCCGGGCCTACCAGATTATTTCAAAGGCCTCATCTTTAAAACTTTCAAGAAATTAAGAGGTGGACTAGGCCCCAGCATTTTACAAACCTGTTTGTTAATGTTATTAATCACTGGAATAGAGATGCTTGACAACAAAACGCATTTTCTGTATAAACTAAACTCAGAACTTTATTTTATTGAAAGGCTTTGTTTGAAAGGAGTGTTACAGTGGGATTGTGACTCCTTAAAATTAAATACAAGGTAGAAATATAGTTCCTCAGTTGTACTAGCCACATTTCTTTCATGTGCTCTACAGTTCATGTCGCTAGTGACTACCGTGTTGTCAGCTCAGATACAGAACATTTCAACCACTGTAGAAAGTTCTATTGGTCAGCGCTGTTACAGAGTGTAAGTTTCACAATGTTTCCGCCTAGTAGTTCTTCCCCCAAATACTTAATTGTGATCTAGGGACTTGGTCTTCAAAGCACTTAAACCTCTCGTTGGTTTTTGAAAAAATTCCTTTTCTCTCTCTCTCTTTGTATTTTTGAAATTTATATTTCAAAATGTATATAGTTCATATTTTTTAAAACAGCCTTTTTTTTTTTTTTTTTTTTTGAGACAGAGTCTCGCTGTGTCACCCAAGAGGGAGTACAGTGGTGCAATCTCGGCTCAGTGCAACCTCTACCTCCCGGGTACAAGTGATTCTCCTGCCTCAGTCTCCTGAGTAGCTGGGACTACAGGCATGCACCACCACACCCAGCTAATTTTTTTGTATTTATAGAGATGGGGTTTCACCAGGTTGGCCAGGCTGATCTGGAACTCCTGGCATCAGATGATGTGCCTGCCTTGGCCTCCCAAAGTGTTGGGATGATTACAGGTGTGATCCCCCATACCCAGCCAAAACAGCTTTATTGAAGTATAACTAAAACACCTCAAAAAACTGCATGTTTAATGTAAACAATTTTATGAGTTTGGACAGATGCATACACCCATGATACCATTACCACAATCAAGGTAATAAACATATCTATCATAGCCAAAGATTTCCGTGTGTGTGTGTGTGTGTGTGTGTGTGTATGGTACAAACACTTAGCCTGGCATGGTGGCTCACTCCTGTAATCCCAGCGCTTTGGGAGGCTGAGGTGGATGGATCACTTGAGCCCAGGAGTTCGAGACCAGCCTGGCCAACATGGCAAAACCCCATCTCTACTAAAAATACAAAAATTAGCCTGGAGTGGTGGTGCGTGCCTGTGGTCCCAGCTACTTGGGTGGGAGGGTCACCTGAGCCTGGAAAGGCTGAGGCTACAGTGGGTCGTAATCATGCTACTACGCTCCAGCCTGGTGACAGAGAGACCCTGCCTCAGACAAACAAAACAATAACAGACCCACTAAACATGAAAACATGACCTACATTAATAAACTTCTAAGTGCACAGCACTGTCTCATTATACATAGCTCACATGTTAAAGACAAAGAGAAGCCTTGAGTTCATCACCATGTGAGAATAATACACAATTTAATTGATATCCTATGTCTGGTGTCAAGCTTAAGCACAAATGTCCATCTTTATTTTCCTTTCCCTAATATCACTAGATCCCGTAGTGGCTGACTGGATGACAGAGAGCTAGAGGTAAAAGAGATTTAGAGACCAGCCAGCCTGACCCTGAGAATGGAATCCAAAAACATTAAGGGACTTTGGAAAACCACAGGGCCTTAATGGTACTTAAGGGGCCGGGAACAGACCCCCAACTACTTGTCCACTATGTGACCTCCCTTAGGACTTACATTTCCCCTAAAATCAATAGAAACCCAGCTTCAGCCAACACATTCTCAGAACAACATTTATAATGCGAGTTCACTTAGCAAGAGTTTCTATTCACTTGCATTACAAGCCAGACTCTGATTCAAGGACTTTTTTTTTTGTTTTTTTTGTTTCTTTTTGGAGACAGAGTCTTATTGTTGTTGCCTGGGCTGGAGTGCAGTGGTGTGATCTTGGCTCACTGCAACCTCCGCCTCCCAGGTTCTAGCAATTCTCCTGCCTCAGCCTCCCGAGTAGCTGGGACTACAGGCACACACCACCATGCCTGGCTAATTTTTTTGTATTTTTAGTAGAGATGGGGTTTCACCATGTTGGCCAGGCTGGTCTGGAACTTCTGACCTCAGGTGATCCACCCACCTCGGCCTCCCAAAGTGCTGGGATTACAGGCATGAGCCACCATGCCCAGCCGATTCACGGATTTTCTAATTATTTTTTGAGAGGTCCAGAATTGGCTTCTGCAATTTAAAACAATGCATTCAAGTACACCTGGAACTTTTGAAGGAGAGATATCATTCAGGCTCTTTTAGGCCTGGGAATTTCAAAGCTGGATACTAATATTTGCCCTGGAATCACCTTAGAAGTATGGCTTAAAAGAACTCATGAGAGCCTATGGAAGAACTGGGGACAATAATTCCTTACGTTTAACCAGCTGAAAGAGCTTTAAGGCGGTTGGAATTGATAGAGGCTGTCAGTGCTGGGATGTGGAAGAATGTTTGGAATTGCAGTTCTGGGATTAGCAGGTCCCATCAGAATGTAAATCATTTAACAGTGTACAAATGGCTTCACAGAAACACTGTCCAGGGTTACCACAATAGATGGTTTCTACTCTCACTACGTGCGTTTCCATTCCCACCTGAATGCCTTGGAGTGCACTTGTTAGTGTACTGTTGTATGTGTGCTTTTCTGTCAAACATTTACACCTATGTTACAGCCAATTGTCGACTGCGGGCTAATATTTAACATCTGCTGAGGCTTATCTGATGCGCAACTCAAAATCAACCATCAGAAAATAACACTTTTAAGTGCGAACATAGCTTTCAGTTTGCTGTTTGATTCATCTGATAAACGAAAATGTCTATACCTGCGTGGAGGCGGGGAAAATGAAGGAAGGTCTTTTATTCTATTTTACACAGCCCATTATGTGGTTCCAGGAGAGTATCACTGGTGAACATTAACTGTAACGTAACTGTTATCCACAGGAAAGCTACCAAAAATGCACCATCGAATATCTAACCTGATTGATTCAACTTCTCTCTCACCATAGTTGTTCTCGGGGTGAGAGCTGGCACCTTTAACTGTGGTGACTTTTTGGGTGAAAAGTCTGACCTTGACCATCTATCTCCCAGTGAAGATACCAAAAACAGGAAGAGTTGCAATGTGGCCAGTGGGAGGGGAAATGATTCAAGAATCAAGCGCCCCCGGCAATGCACATGCTTACACAATCTGATGGAAAGAGCCGTATTATTACTTCTGACCTCGCCTGTTTAACATGCATTGAGTTGAAGGATCATTTCATTGGATGTTCTCGGAGGACTCAACACAAAGACCGAAAGGGTGTGGGTAAGAACCAGTCTAGGGTGGTGGGAAGACATCCTGACAGTCTTTGCCCAATTCCCCAATGTCACTTGTTCATGATGCCTTTTCCCCCTTGTACACCTCACCCTTCCAGGTGGCTTTATCCTTGAGTTTCTACTGCAATGGGGCAGAGCTCTAGACTTCTGGCTCACTCTGAAAATTTCCCATGGTACTGCAAAACCTGAAAGCCGGCCAGGCATGCTGGTTTAGGCCTGTAATCCCAGCACTTTGGGAGGCCGAGGCGGGCAGATCATTAGGTCAAGAGATCGAGACCATCCTGGCCAACATGGTGAAACCCTGTCTCTACTAAAAATACAAAAATTAGCTGGGCGTGGTGGCGCATGCCTGTAGTCCCAGCTATTCGGGAGGCTGAGGCAGGAGAATCGCTTGAACCCGGGAGGTGGAGGTTGCAGTGAGCCAAGATAGCGCCACTGCACTCCAGCCTGGTGACAGAGTGAGACTCCATTTCAAAAACAAAACAAAACAAAACAAAACAACTCTGAAAGTCAAGTTCCACAGAGAGGAGTTATTAGATGTTTCCAGGGGTCTTCCTAGCAGAAATGTGCTCCCACATAACATTAAGAAAATGACTCTCCCTTTTCCTTATCTGACTTTTACAGTGGTCCAGAGGTGGCTTTTCATTTATTATTATTTTTTTTGAGACAGGATCTCACTGTGTCACCCAGACTGGAATGCAGTGGTGCAATCTCGGCTCACTGCAACCTCCGCCTTCTGGGTTCCAGCAATTCTTGTGCCACAGCCTCCCAAGTAGCGAGGATTACAGGTGTGCATCACCACGCCTGGCCAATTTTTTAATTTTTAGTGGAAACAGGGTTTCACCATGTTGGCCAGGCTGGTCTCAAACTCCTGACCTTAAGTGATCCACCCACCTTGGCTTCCCAAAGTGCTGGGATTACAGGCGTGAGCCACTGCGCCTGGCCAGAGGCGGCTTCTTTCATGGGTTTCTGCTCAAGCAGAGGAACTACACTGACGGGGACCACACAGTGTGTAAAAATCCCATTTTTTCCTGGGATTCTGGGCTTTCCCCTTAACTAAGGACAAGATGGGATCATAGGAGGAGCAGAAGACACTTCCAGGAGGCTTGAGGGTGGCTTCCCTCTGCCTTATGCAGGGGCTGAGGTGTGACATTCCTCT